TTTGCACCACGTAGCTTCTCGCTCATATATCCCTTATATGAAAAATCAGTCCCAGTTAGAAAATTAAATTCTCTCGAGTCATAATCTAAGCACCTCCAGGGACGATGACATATTTCTCTGCCACAGACAAACACCTTAGGGGGAGAGCGAAGGGAAATTATTAAAAGTTTTGCTTATTGCATTTTATTTCTGGCTCTAGGGTGAGGCTAAAGTGATGGATTCATATGTAAGAAGGAAGGTAGTTATCAGAAAACCAGCATTCACAGTTGAGCTATAGAAAACACTGTGATTCTTATAACTCATTAGGATGTATGAAAAACGTAATGAATACATTGAGAACCAGCAGCGGTCCCAGCTTGATGATGTTGAATCGTCCTCTGTTGTCATTCTGACATATTTAGAATGCATATATATATATATATGATTTATTCTTATTTACATTTGAGGAGAGAAATAAATCTCAGAGACACACACACACAGGTGTAGATTTCAATATCTGTGTCATTTCACCCCCACCGCAATGAAAAAAACAAAACAAAACCTGAAAGTAGCAGAGGAGTTACTGAGGAAGAGAACCACGGGAACGTCACTCAGAAAAGGAATGCCTCCCAAAAAGTCTGTTTTTTAACCCCCAAAATACAAGAATGAGTTATATGTTAATGCAATTCTTCAAACACAGTTATAACCACCGCATGCAAACACACATATTTAAAGACACACAGCGTTGTGGTCTCAGTCAGCAGCTCTGCAGCATCTTCTGTGACACCTTAGATAGAGGCAACCGCAGATTTATCTGACAGAGCGAAACAAGAGATCTGATATATTGTCTCAAAAAGTTGTTTGTTTGTTTTTCTTTATTATAAAATGCTGCTGTGGGCCTTTATCGTTTTCATTCAACCTGATTAGCACATCATTAGATATGTACATGATCTTAAAAATGAGGGGTTGATATATCAAAATGAATGAATTTATCAGTGACATGGAGGTAGCCTGATATCAGACACCCTGACTCTCATGTCTGAAAGCGCACAAGCACAGCAGACCGTGTCTAGCTTAGCAAGGATGCCACTAAATGAGAAAAGCTGAGAATGATTATTTGAAAGCAAGACGGAAAGCCGCTGAGGTCCCAGCATACGTTGAAGTGTGAGCTGCAGCCTGATGATTGTGTTTTCCTTTACATAAATAAACTGATGCAGAAAATGCACAAATTGGAGCATGAAAGTGTAAGGGAAATAAGTGTACGATGCTCCAAATTTCAGGGGAAAGGACACCACCCCAATGTGTCCTCCCTGTGAACCCCGAGCCAACAGGAGTGAGAATGAAGCCCACCTCTGATCAAGCATACTTCACTAAGTAAGGACATAAAGTTCGTATGGAACATACACACATTCTTAGATGAATCTTTTACGTTTTCTCTGTGCACAATCGCCTGCTCACGCTAGAGAAATTCTATCTGCCAGCAGATATAATAAATTGTTTTCAATCACAGACATTTTCCAGTGCCGGCCAGGAACACTGTTCTGGCTCACCAGGAACATATAGAGAGAGGCCAGGCTCTGCAGGGACCCAGCTGGACTTAAATGTGGCTCCAGTTGCTGAGACTGTGTCTGTCAAGGTCCCTAAATCCAAATTCAGCCGTTTGAAAAATTGCTCAATCTCACAGCCTCAATCAGCTCTGAATATAATCTTGACCCCACGTTCACCACCATCATCAACAAAGCACTACGGGCCTCTTCCAGTAACCCGCGTCACCTCATTTAAATTAATACATTCTTCTGTAAAAGCTTAATCTAAAAAGAAATCCACAGTTACTTAAAATGAGGACTGTGTGCACAGATGGGAACAATAAAATCATAGCTTTGATGAGGTCGCTGAATGAGGCATTTCTTTGAAAATGCTGACAGTATATTTAATAAAGTGTCAGCTTTTTGATGAATGATAGCAGCTTCTCCGAGCTTGTTTGGTGATTTTATTACGGATTAATAGCTCCACCTAAGTCTCAGTCGGAAGAGGAGAGTGTCTCACGCACGTTTCTGCAGCTACTCTGATAATAATTCACTGGAGATTCATTTTAGATGAATCGAACATTTATCAGTGTGATCAGAATACCTATATGTTAATGGTGTTTTACCATTTATATGGAGAGATGAAAAAACAGAAAGATGGCCTGTGCACGCTGCTGAGAACCTTCGGCTGTGCTCAGCAGGAGCAAGGTTAAGGGTTATAACTGTAGCCTGTTTTATTTAAATACGCATTTAACCATTTTCTTAACCCCTCACCCTATCCTATACAATGCCTATCCTAGCCGTCACTGGCTGAGAATCATGGTGCTCTCTGAATAGGGTTTCCATCACAGGGCTAACATCCACACCCATGGCCAGTCTTAGAATCACCAGTCGAGCAAACGTACACATCTTTGGCTGTGAGGAACGTTCAAATGCTCATCTCTAAAATGCAGTGATGCTGACTGCTTTCAGGGCAATGCAGTGGTGTAGTAGTTAATGCTGTTGCCTAATGTCATTTTCTGGTCTAAAATCTGTGTGGTATACCTAAATTACATATAGTGCATGAATGAATCCTGGCATAAATGTGTGTATGAAGAGCTTTGAGTGGTCAGTAAGATTTCTTTTAAAGTGCTATATAAATTCCAGTCGATTTCTTTGCCAGGTTGCTGCCTTTGTAAAATAATAGGTGATTATGAGCCAATTATTAAAGAAAGAATAATTCTATTCAATTCAGGTTTGTTTGTAATGTACCAATTCTCAACAATTACCTTCTTGCGCTTAAGATCTTATCATTTTAGAGGGAAAACAATTAGACTGTGAGCTAACACTTGGCGACAGCGAAAAGGAAAAACTCCCTTTTAACAGGAAGAGGCTCAGGGAGGGGCAGACATCTCCAAAAGCAGTTTTGGGATGAGGGAAGAGAAGAGAAAGGAGAGCAGAAAGAAAAGAAAGAAATGTAGCTGCATGCAGTAAAATAAACAAGTGTTAAATACTGCCCATTATTCATAACTGACTTATTAACTGTGCTAACTTGGTATAAGAGCTAACACTTGGACTAAATCATAACTTTAAAGCTACATTTTAGTTGCAACCTTCCGCTGGCATTCTCATGAAAGCGAACAACATTGTTAATACCTGGGAGTTCTTTTTTTAATGTTGTTATTTGAGATTATCATACGAAGTATATGAGTTCACACAATGCATCTGCACTATATTAAATGTGCAATTTACCTCAGTTAGGTGATTAGCAACCACGCAAAGGTTTGATGATTTATTCATTGGAAAATGTGATATTATCCTAAAATGTCCATGAATAGAAATTATATCAACATAATTAAATACCCTATTTGAGGCACTTTGATTGCAGATAAAACTTTTGAAACACCAGAACACTAAAGGTTTTGAAATTGCGTGAGACAACGAAAGTAAACAGATTCAGTGTTGCTGAAAATGATGCAATGTCCCAGTCCCATCACTCGCCTAAGGCCAAAATCGCTAAACCCTCACAGACGTCGTGGGAGTCTGCTCTGAATTTATAACAGGTTCAGTATGGTGCAAAAAGTAGGAAGAGGACAGCACTGTGCCATTTGAGCCACAATTACAATAACTTATTAATAAATAAATAATAATTCCTGTTTGTGACATTAGACATTTTAACAAAAGTCAGGAAAACCATGAACATATGTAAACAGTATCCAGCTGTTTAACTGGATACAAACAAGTGTGCCATAAATAAACACACAGTGACCAGTCAGATGCTGTCACTTCCATCCATGATTGGTTATTGTAGATTTTATCTGGGGACAATTTTACTATAAAATGTATGGAGACACCCTAAGAAAGCTCTTAAATGCTCCAGAAACTGGTCCAAAATGCCTTCTATACTAGTTCAGCCTGGATGCTGAATGTTGTGGGTTGCTAGCACTATCTACTGGACAAACTGGGTAAATGACTGGTCAAAGAAATAAAAGAGGAGTCTTTGTAAATTAGTAAAAGGTGACGCATTTGTCTCTATTTTCACAGCAAAGCTAGTAATATAAATAATAGACAGATTTCATCAAATATGAAAAATAAAAGATACGTAATGAACAATAAAAGGGGATTAAAAAAGAACAGAATATACAAATGTGATGGATTAGGGATGGAAGAGCTCAGCATCAGAGTCAAATCAAATCAAATGGGTAAAGATGGAAGCTAAATGATTTTTCATTGTGAATTCAGAAATACCAAACAGGTGGTGTTGTGGTGAGTTCTAAGTTGTGGGACCAGAGCACCTGGAAGCAGTTTTCCATGCTCAGTATGAACTTGAGGAGTTTGCAGACATACTCAAAGGCCCGAGTCTGACGTGATCCAGAGCACCGGTCTATCTCAGAAGCAAACTGCCAACATAAAATCCACTTAAGCTGCTGTCAGTTAGCGCTAAAACTTCACCTTTACACCGCTGTGTTTTGCAGTATGGTGTATTAAGTGTGTTCACTACCTTGTTAATAATCTAATGAAGCTCAGTCTCACTGCTGGATGTCCAGCACTGCCGCAGGACAGAAACTGAACACTGCTTTGAAAAAACACATGATATGAACAAGGTTGCCTATTTTCCACAGCATGACATACTGTTTATGATCAACTCTGATTGAGGGCTCGGAAAGCTTCAGCTAACAGTTCTGTTTATTGTGCTACCAAGAAATGGCTCCAGTCAGAGGTTGTCCCTCAGTCTCTGTGGAGCAGTAACAGGACAGCTGGATGATGGATCCCTTCAAGTGCAACTGTCAGTCACAAACACAACTGTCCTTCCCGAGCCAGAGCTATGTCCTGTTGTTATTCTGGGGGCTCAGTAATGGGGTATGTGTGTTTGGCTATTATCCCTAAATCTCATGAACTCAGACAATGGTGGCAGTGAGAGAATAGACCCCTTTACCTGTGTCTCTGCCTAAACAAGGCATGGAGTATTTATAGCCCATAAGCGTGCGCCATTATAGATGGGAGAGGGGTGAGTATATCAGCCCCTCGTTTTGGGGGCTGCTTCATCATAAAGCAGCGAGGATACTGCTTGGTCCAAATCCAGCTAACACTGAAACATGGTGAGTGGATACAGATCTCATTGTTATTGTCTTTAACATTGTTTAAAATAAGCGCCAGACTGTGAGGAGACAGTCTGTCTCTGCTGTGTGATTAATGTGTTTACTGTAGATATCTGTATAACAGTCCGTCAAAGTCTGCTCCTTTCAGACAACAGATAACGCACCAATGTACTCCATGTCAATATGTTGTGAGGCCTTTTTTTCCTTTAAATAATCAATCGGACAATGCTCCCGTTGTCCTATTGATGAGATATTTGTCTACTCGACTACTCGTATTTTCATCAAAATGACAACAAATTAACTGTCTCGGAGAAGAGAAGGAGGAGACGGTAAGAAAAGCCTTAACCTTAAAAAATATATATATTTTACTTGCAACTTTTTCCTCCGTGTTTACAATAAAATGGAGCAATGGCATTTAAAACACACACAACATTTAAGGAGAGGAAATAGGAGGGATGAAGAGGAGAGAGGTGAGAGAAAGGGAGCAAAAAAACAGAGAAGAGACTTAGAAGAGCAGCCAACCGGGTTGGAAAGAGCAAAACAAAGGGAGTGCAGAGCAGACAGCAGAGAAACACGAGCAACAGGTGCAGGCTATGAAGAGGTCAGTGGTTATTCGCGTAATATTTGGCCCAATAAAGTTTCCGCTGGTCCAGCAGTGATGTGCATTGGGCAACAACTCTGCCTCATTGCCCACGAGTACATGAATCCTCTTAAAACAAAATAAATAATGAAATAAATGTATCTGAGTGCCAGAGGTCCCTTCCATGAGATATACAAGAGCTAATCCACAACAAGGGTTAGACAGCAGCTGTCGAGAGGACCCTGAATCCGAGCAACATGATGTCACTGCGCTGCATCCCCCTTACAGTGTTTTTCCCAGTTCCTTGGCAGTCATGTAAATAGCTCAACATAATCCTTGCCTCTGAGGGATTTCTGATCAAACAGGGCTCAGTGTACTCTCCTGTCATCACATAGACCCTATAGAATAATCCCTCATGTGATCCTGGGACTATGAGAGTGCAGGCAGTGGACCACACCCTCCCTAGGCTTACCCTGTGTGCTCCCAAAACTGGAGGCTCGAATAAATATTTCCATAACAAACTGACAGTGTTTGTAATCCTCACTAATGAAATGTGTGCCCCCCAGTATAAACCTTTCCTCTTGTGCAATAGATGCATACCCCCCCTCCCCCCCCACACACACACTTAGTGAGAGTGAGCTGATCGTCGGCTCATTACCACGTGTGACAGTAAAACCGATAATGAGTAAGGCTGTACGGAAGAGCCAGGTGATGATCGTGTGTCATTGCTAGTGGATCTAATTAAGAGTGTCATCGTTAAACCCCCCACAGGCACCCAAGAAAGCAAAGAAGAGAGCGGAGGGAGCCAGCTCCAATGTGTTCTCCATGTTCGAACAGGCCCAGATCCAGGAGTTCAAAGAAGTCGGTACTCTGCCAAACGCTTTCTTTCACATTGAATTTGAGCAGTTTACTCACTGCGATGTCTGCTCACTCTGTATACTCCTGCAGGCGTTCACTATCATGGACCAAAACAGAGATGGCTTCATTGACAAGAACGACCTCAGGGACACCTTTGCAGCTTTAGGTAAACTCACTGTGTGTCACGTTCCTGTTGTGACGGTTTCACATGAATACATTACACAAGTCCAGCAAAAAACAAAAGAAACCTTAGGCATTCTCAGGTTCCAGCTTCTCACATGTAAGAATTTTATTGTCTCAGCTAGTAGAGCTCACCTTGAGTTCTGGGATGTATAATTGCCATTTTTAAAATACTGTCTGAACAAACAGATAAGTGATAAATTGAGCTGTAGTAGTCATGAGATTAATCATTAGCTGACTTTTCCCCCAACCTAAGACTTATTAATATTATACATAAACAAGCAAACCTATTAAACATATTACAACACAGACTAAACAAGAAAAGCACAGCAAACAAACATGATCAAATTTACATTGGGGCGATTGTGGCTCAAGAGTTGGGAGTTCGCCTTGTAATCGGAAGGTTGTTGGTTCGAGCCCCGGCTTGGACAGTCTCGGTCGTTGTGTCCTTGGGCACGACACTTCACCCGTTGCCTACTGGTGGTGGTCAGAGGGCCCGGTGGCGCCAGTGTCCGGCAGCCTCGCCTCTGTCAGTGCGCCCCAGGTGGTTGTGGCTACAATGTAGCTTGCCATCACCAGTGTGTGAATGTGTGTGGATGACTGGACGTGTAAAGCGCCTTGGGGTCCTTAAAGACTAGAAAAGAATATTTGTATCTTTTCAAATAACACATGACTCCCGGTCTTCCACATATTTCAAAGTTTTTTATTTTAATACATATGTTTTCCTTCCTAGGGTTTACTGTCAACATATTTACTGCATACCTGGAAATATCTCCAACTGTTTCTACTAAATGTATTAAACCTGCAACTGAGTCATTTTGCAATAAACGATATTATGTCCTCTGGATATAATGATAGCTATTTCCTGAGCTAGTTATTCTCGACATTTGTTGTGTGATTTATTCCATTTTGCATTTCTATTCCAATACTTTGATTAGATAGAGTCATTCAAAAGAGTTTTATCAAAAGCCATACCTCATTTTTCTTTATTATTGTTCATTTAGTTTTTATTTTGTATAAGAGGAACCTTATCTTACTGCAACAAATCTGTTCTAGTCTTTATCGACCTGGGATTCAATTTTGTTAAATTTTTTGGGAAAAGGTTGTGTATTATATTGAGTACTATCCATCAAGCTTGCTGACTTCATGTTCTACATTTGTTTAAATGTTCCAGTGGTTTTAGAATATATTTAAAGGACCAAGTGTTGAATGTGCCTTGAATGTGCTTTTAATACAAAGCTGGAAAACTGTTGTTATTCCAAATTTCCAGCAACTGCATCCCCTTCCAATTCCTTCTTTGGTCATTTTGGGCTGGATGGCATGGTCAACCCATCTAATAGTTCCACTGAGCTTTTGTGGATTTGTTTTAATCTCTTTATTGGACTATTTTCAATAAATAATATATCAGTTTAAAAAATGAGCATTAATTGCGACCCCTGTTTCACCATATATTCCATGTTTTTCAGGCCGTTTAAATGTCAAACAAGAAGAGATTGATGACATGCTGAAGGAGGCACCAGGGCCCATTAATTTCACTGTCTTTCTCACCATGTTTGGAGAGAAACTAAAAGGTAAACGAAGATGCTGTTATATGACATTCAAAAAATGAAATCATTTTTCTTCAATGCAGAACTGCCACTTTTTATCTGCAGGTGCTGACCCAGAGGAGACTATCCTTAATGCTTTTAAAGTCTTTGACCCTGAGGGAAAAGGAACACTAAAGAAAGAGTTGTGAGTAATAGTCTGGTTCTTAAGCGGCTCGTGACATTTGCGTCTCGTTTGCTCATCATCACTGCTTGTCTCCACAGTGTGACAGAGATGCTGACGACCCAGGCTGACAGATTCTCTGCTGAAGAGGTTAGTGCTCCATCTCCGACGATGTAACAGATAGTTGAGCCTTGAGTTTTTATTAATGCAGATATGCTCTGTAACCTTTTTTTTTTAACTTCGTACCCAAAGATGGAGCAGATGTTTCAGGCGTTCCCTCCAGATGTAGCAGGGAACCTGGACTACAAGAACCTCGTCTACGTCATCACACACGGTGAAGAGAAAGACCAGGAATAATCACATCCTCCCTCACTGGGTCGTATTTGTGCTGAGATATGATCACATATGACAGCAAAAACAGAAAGCAAAAACGTAAATAACTTCAGCTTCAGTTTTTGAATATGCACATGGATCAATGTGTTCATTCATTCATGATTATAACATGTATATGTATGTATATTATTTGAATATATATGAGTAATCTCTTCAAAGTTGAAATTAAGAGTTTGACCTCGGATGTTTTTGACAAATCAATAAAGAAAGATTCAACCTCAGAGAGATGCATTGAAGAAGCGAATCTCGGTGTATTTCATCTTCCATAAGTAGTGATATTTAATTATCTGTATATAGTGATTTTATTTCAGTGCTCACTGTTGATCAGTAGAAGAACACTGGAACCCAGAAGCTCCAAGTCCCATTTGTTCAATTTTGCCTTAAAGAGTACTTTAAGTGTATAAATATAAGGGAAAGGATTGCTAGGTAGACAGTGTGTCCTTTAAAGGCTCTATGTGGCTACTCCACCATAGCTCACCTTCTGTTAATGGTAAAGCTAATCTGTAATTACACTTTCTGTATACCCCAGTATCATTTACTATACTTATGTATCTCTTTATTTTACATGTAAATCAATTTCTTGATTGTCTAGAAATTGGTGCATCTCTAAGGTTTTTATTGGTTAACTGATTTTCAAATTGAAGCAAAAGTGTTCATCATACTGAATTATTTCCTAATCAGATAACACAGAACAGGAACTGCGTATAATTAATATCCGGTATGGTGAAAAAACCTAATTTCGTTATACTTTACTAGGGAAATGGAAAATAAATGGAGCAATTTATTGAAACGAGATCAAACATACATGGAAATACACTATATAAGCCAAAAGTTTTGAAATTTCTAATGAACTTCAAAGTCAATATTTGATATGAATACTTTTATTCTTCACAACAAGCTGAACTTTTTTAGGGATGTTTTCTTAGCATTTCTTTAAGCGGTCTTCAGGAATAGTTCTGCAGGCTTTTTGAAGGACAATCAAAACTCTTCTTTGGATGTTGGCTGCCTGTTATTCTGGTTTCTGTCGAGATGATCCCACACTGCTTCGATAATGTTGAGGACTCGGTGACTGAGGAGGCCAAACCATAGTGTGTGTTTTTCTATCCAGATATACTTTGTACTGTGTTGGCAGTGTGTTTGGTATAATTTTCATGTTCTCCAAACGACATGACTTTCAGGTATTGTGTCAGGTGGCAATACCAAAGTGGCTCAACGTGTTACGTGTAGAAACAACACTGATTCATTTATTGAGTTAGGGCCCTTTTGTGGGTTAAGTAGCTTACAAAGCACGCAAATTAAAAAAAACATATCCCTCTGAAAATTGTCAGGTACAAGGACTGGACTGAAAATGAGTGAAAAATCAACAAATATCCAAAGAAAAAAACATTAAAGGACTTCAGAAGGTCTGACGCTGTCCCCATCCAGCACAGTAGGGGGCAGTAGTGTAGCAGCTACCAGCACAAGCCGCTGGCTTAGCAGTACAAGGTGCGGCAAAGGAAAAACAGAAACGGGACACCGTCGCTAGCAACCGTTTGTGTTGGTTGACGCTTATTTTTTTATAGTCCCCGTCCCTTTTTTTTAACAAAACGAAAAATTGATGTTGGCATTTTTAAAATCGCGATCTTTAAGTAGCGTATTAGGCTGTCAAAAGTGTCGGCGAGTGGCTAAACGGTATCAGGGTCGCGGCAACATCTTTTACCCTCAGCCGGAAAATAGACGAAGCTAACATTAGCAAGCTAATGCTAGGATAGCTAGCGGGCTAGCTTTCACAAGTGTGTCAACGCAAAGACCTAGATTTGACTGGAGCGATTATTTCGTAACACCGACGCTTGCAATGGCTGATGTTGACAAGCTCAACATAGATAGTATCATCCAGCGGCTTTTAGAAGGTAAGTACATACAAAAATTTCCACGAAACACTTGTTTTATTATTTAAATGTTATGGTAAATGCTAATAGTAGATAGCTAGCTTTAGCTCGTGTTCATCTTGTTGCAATAATTAGTAACAATAATCAGAAATATTTGCAAGATAACTTAATATTTTAATTAATGTCGGCTACCAGCTTTATGTAATGCGTCTCTTGAGTCAGAATATTGGTGTGTCTGAAGGGTGTGAAACGACATGTCATGTACACTGTGTTCTCATACACAAACACCGCGAAGTCCGTCACGGCATATGGCTTCTACACTCACCGTTTGTCCCACTTGGCGTCCGGGCAGAGATGTCATGCCCGGGTTAGCTGGAATAGTGTTTAGGTGTTATTCTTACTGACTTTTGTTGATTTTTGTCTTCTTGTTCCAGTCAGAGGAGCAAAACCTGGCAAGAATGTTCAGCTGCAGGAGAACGAGATTCGTGGATTATGCCTCAAGTCCAGGGAGATCTTCCTCAGTCAACCCATTCTCCTGGAGCTGGAGGCCCCGCTCAAGATTTGTGGTAAGAAAAGCTATGCACTTACTTACCAGAAAGATTGACTCAGCAATTGACTGATAGTATGTACTGACGTATGATAAGTGGTGTATGACTCAATAGCAATGTGTATAATTCAGCTTGGTATTTGCCCTGCAGGTGACATCCATGGGCAATACTATGACCTGCTAAGGCTGTTTGAGTATGGGGGCTTCCCTCCTGAGAGCAACTACCTGTTTCTGGGGGACTACGTGGACAGGGGGAAGCAGTCACTGGAGACCATCTGTCTTCTACTGGCCTACAAAATCAAATACCCAGAAAACTTCTTCCTGCTGAGGGGAAACCATGAGTGTGCTTCAATCAACAGAATATATGGTTTTTATGATGAGTGTGAGTATTGTTGAATGACTAGAAATGTCCAACCTGGGGCCTCTTGTGTCCATTAAGGGTACCTGTCAGACTCTCTGTTGTGTTATCTTTTGCTGGTTAAACTGTTTGGAGGAGGTTGTTGGTATCAGATAATGGAAAAAAATTAAATATAATTTCTTGTCTTACTGTGTTAGGTAAAAGAAGGTACAACATCAAACTCTGGAAGACCTTCACAGATTGTTTTAACTGCCTCCCAATTGCCGCCATTGTTGATGAGAAGATCTTTTGCTGCCATGGCGGTAGGTTATAATGTGCAGAATGAATGTTTTGGCACAAAACTCTACTATCAACTCTAAAGTGTTTTGGTTGTATGCATGATGTTAGAAGTAGTGTACATTTGATATCAGCGTTTCTTATTTGTCCTTGAGAAATGCTGTTTTTGCAGTTTGTTACCTGACATGGAGCTCACCCAGTTCCAATCGGTGCTGACCTCAGTATCAGTGTGTTTATTTGTACTTTTACTTTACTGTTCCATTTAGGACTGTCCCCTGACCTTCAGTCCATGGAGCAGATCAGACGCATCATGCGTCCCACTGACGTGCCTGACCAGGGCCTGCTGTGCGATTTACTTTGGTCTGATCCAGACAAGGATGTGTTGGGCTGGGGGGAGAACGACAGGGGTGTGTCATTTACCTTTGGCTCAGAGGTGGTAGCCAAGTTCCTGCACAAGCATGACCTGGACCTGATCTGTCGTGCCCATCAGGTAATCACCTCCGTCATCACAAACAGAAACGTCACTGTTGGAGGTGGGAGGTGGCCGTGTACTGGCCAGAGGCAAGATACACTTGGTACAGGACATGATATACTAGCACACATGGTGTGTGTAGTAGTGGACAGTGGGTTTTGACCTTTTTGGCTTGCGTTTGCATCAAAGTAAAATTATTTGCGCATTTCCAGAGGTTGTTACGTGTTCAATTAAAGCTTTACTTCTATAAAGAATATGGAGAGAAACTGATGTTAGAATAGTCACAAATTACTTTAATGCTGCCACTTAATGCCAGTGCAAAGATAAGAGAGCTCAGCTTTCAATGCAGTCTTGTGTAATTTTGTGGAAAACATGTTTTTCAGAATAGACAGTAGCTTGTAGTAGAATATAATGTGTAGCTTATTAATGTAAATATAGAGTTTGGTCAGTACGACAACCAAAAAGGAAAAACACTGTTGAGGCATGTTGAGGCATGTTGAGTCTGCAATTAAGACAAGTGATTGTGAACGTAAATACACAAGTTTTACTTGAAACTCCTGACCAGAGGCCAGGCTAGACTTTAATAGTGACCAGTAAACCTTTGCCACTAATGTACTTGATGATGTAGCTGCTGATAGAAGTATCAAGATGAATTGTGAAGTGTATAGTGTCCAATCAGATTTATCTGTGTGCTGCAAAACTGATAGGCTGGTGTTTCGCGGTACTTTGTGCAGCTCTCTGTGCTTTGTCATAAGCCTCATAAGCCAGAAAAGCGCAGACAGATGCAGCACACCCTTCATTTGCTCCACAAACATAAAATTGAATCAGTCTGCACCGTTAGCCTTTGGCCAAAAGCTGTTATCAACATTCAGTATGGCTAGTCATCGACTGATTGCATTGTTATCTACCACAAGTGAGCAGCCTACATTGTCAGAGAGGAACGGCAAGCTCAGAATAAAGTAGTTACTGCTGGTAACTCCGGTTCTGCAGGTACATGCCAGAGTTTTTAATCGGTTTGTCTTTGATGGGTTGCCTTCCAGTGTCTGCAGTTGTTGCCAAAGCGTTGAATAACAACTTTTCATGCAGAATTTCTGGGCTTAAAACCATCTAAGGGAACATGCATGTGCATTTGTAGAAGTGCCACTATTAAGGAGGTGCAGAAATCTAGTTTCCTCTCAAACCAATTAGATACATAAAGGTTATTTTGGAGTGGTAGGCCAGTAAGGCCTAATAATAGATGCCTTTAACAATAAATGGAATCTATTTTGTTATTTGTTGGAGTGCTTGAGTTAAAGCTTCAAGTCTTCATTTCACTTACACCCTGCTGGTTTTGATTTTAAACTCCGCTCAGACTCCACTTACAAACCTGACAATATGTTTTGAGTTTTTATATTGAGTTAAAGATCCTGTGAACCATAACCCATTGGGTTAGACTGCTAGACTACGCTTTAGATCTGACCACCTTAATGTCTACTTGCATGATTTAGTTGAGGCTAATCCTAGTTTATGTATTTTGAAAATGTGTAAACATGTCATTCCTATTTGTATTTTCTCACTGGCAGGTTGTCGAGGATGGCTATGAATTTTTTGCAAAGAGGCAGCTCGTCACTTTGTTTTCAGCGCCTAACTATTGTGGGGAGTTTGACAACGCCGGTGCCATGATGAGCGTGGATGAGACTCTCATGTGCTCTTTTCAGGTACAGTACCTTTTGTTT